AGTTTTTGTCAGGATCTGGTCCTCTCTGAGAAACATTGCAGAGGACAATCTTAGTTAGCAACTTTGTTTGCATGGAGGCTTATTTTTGATAGCTGAATTATTAGTTCTTAAGCCTATTTGCATGGTAAAAAGCTGTTAAATTATATTCTCAGTATACACTTTTCCTAAATCCAAGGGTCACATTTTGAAACCAAACTATAAAGAAAAGCAGGGGGTGGGGAGAAAGATCTGTATGCTACATTGAAAACTGACCCCCAAGGTGCAATGCCAGCTGGTCATACAGCAGTGCCACCCCAGTGATGCCAACTAGAAAGGGAACCTGCCCGGTGCCTTGCGTGCCTCTAGTGGTACTGGGTTTTATTTTCCAACGCCGATAGAGCACAGATAGTAAAACTGTGCAATTTGGCCCAATTATGTCCCCCTTCCCCAAGGATTTAATGAGACACTTGGAAGTACAATTCATGGGTGATAAGTAGTTCCTCTGCCCAGAATGTTTGTTAGACTGACAGCAGCATGCTTTTTCCCTTGCCACTTATGACTCAGATGAATTTTAATAGGAGCAGAAAGCTTTTATTTGTGCTGTAATTTCACTTAAGAATCATATCCTTCAGAAACTGGCAGACACTTCTATGTCTTGATTGCAAAACACACGTTCAGGAGTAAAGAAACACGCAGAAGATGTTATTATTCAACCTGTCAGTGTCGCAAATCTGCTTGGAACCTAGGCCATCAAAGCTCTTCCGTGGGGCCTCCCCCCACCCGCTTTAAATAGGGCCCTGTAAAGAACCACTTGGAGATTGCCACTGTCCCCGTGCAGAATCAAAGAGGGAATCAGACTCTGCCTTTGCCTCCCTGCTAGCACGATGCCCACAGGAGGCTTTGAGTTACAGCAGCTTTTCCTCCAACAAAATGGAGCTGCTCAGTGGGCGCTGCTTCTGTCTTACCGGGAGAGCCTGGATCTGGTGGGAACCAGAAACCTGGCACGGGTTCCAATTCCCACCTCAAAGCATTTTCTGTGAGCAAATTTTAGTTCGTATATTTATCCACATTTATCTGGGGTGTTTCCTGTCCGGTAGGAACTGTCTTTATTAGAAGTACTGTGATTGCCGGGACTCACTGGCCCTCCACCTTTGTGAGAGCTGCCTACATAAAGATGCCGTGAAAACTGCCGTGCATGGTGTTCCTTGTGTTTTAAAAAATCTCAGTATCATTGAGTCTCAGCCCATAAGATCTTCTCACATCTTGTCTTTCTCCTGTCTTATCAGAAAAGGTTACATGATGATGTGCCTAAAAAGAAAAACATTTTTGATGCGAATATAACATTTTATGTCACTGAGAAATATTTGAATGTTACAGACTTTTCTTTTCTTTTCTTTTTTTTCCCTCAAAGTGAACACTGAAGCCTTTGTCTCAATTTATTGATCTACCCAGTGTAGCTGCTCTAGAGGCCCCGGAGGCTTGTGACAGCGATATGCTGCCATCTACTGGTGTGCACACACTGTCACTCTTTTATCCCTAAGGCTGATGGGCTCCTGGGATTTGACTTCCTCCGCGGTTCACCAGCAGTGAAGAGTTCCTCAAGCAAAACCCTTGCTGTTTTCTTTATAAAGTTCTGTGATGACTTTCTTAAAGATCCATAATGCTTTCCATATATCATTAATTAATACCTGGAGTAGTTTCTCTTTTAAAACACTGGCTCAATAAGCCCCAGAGATAAATAATGTTGTATGCAGGGTTTTAGGATGTTTCACGTCAAGGATATTACTGTAATTTTAACTTAAAGACAAAACCAGACTTTGAAAAGTGCTGTTTTTGAAAGATGAGTTCATCATTTAACTTCCTCTATGTTTTTCTTTTTCTAGTACAAAGTGCACATTTTAACAAAACTTGCCGCAGAACTGAACAAATTCATGCTTGAAAAGGTGACAGAGGACACAAGCAGCATTCTGCGCTCCCCAATGCCTGGAGTGGTGGTGACCGTTTCTGTCAAGCCAGGAGACATGGTAAGAGCATTTCTGAGGGACATGCTGGGCTCAGGTCTCCCTTACAGAATAATGGCAGCTGTAGGACCGCCTCCCCTCTGTGGCCTCTCGTGAACCCTGGGCTGCCATGGATGGTGGGTTGTGATTCCCTCAGTCTAATGGCTTCTCATCTAAGTTGTGTTGGTGACACGGTGCCTCTGAGCACCTCCCAAGTGATGTGGGAGCGAAATGGAAATGAGGACAGACATTCTTTTCTTTCTCGAATTCAGGGTTTACAGAAGCATTTTACTTCAAATTGCTATTTATGCCCCAGCCCTCTGGATATGAAGCATCCACGAGGAATTCATCTGCTCGGCCTCATAACTCGCTGTTAGCAAAATGTGTAGGATACAAAGATTTTCTTAAAAATCAGCGGCTTAGCAGCAAAAGTTAAAAAAAAAATCTGAGATTCAACTGGGAGATTTCGAGGTCATTAAGTACTTGTGTTTTTACTTCTGTTCAGGAAAATAACAGGTAGATGGGGTAGACTTTCACAGGCTGTATGCTAATTCTGTTTTGTATCTGAGTGAAGCCATTGGAATTTACCTAATTTTCTGTATTGATCATGTTAAGATGGCACCTGATTTTTTTTTATTAATACAGATATAAAGTATCATGCTAATACTGGGGAAACCCACAGAGTTGACATTGGCTTCTAGAAAAATGTAGCGAAAGCAATCAAGTTGGGTTGTTTTAAATGATCAGTCCCCAAATTATCATGAAGCTGGGAAATGGACTTAAGGATGGCTTCCCCTGGTGATGTAGGAGAGCTACCAGTTTTTGTAGAAAGACATAAAGGACCAGGCAGCCCTGACCTGCTGTATTCACTCTGAAGGCGTGGATGTTCCCAGAAGAGCAGCCGCGAAGGCTACCTAGTGCCAGTGTTGGGATGTGAGAGATGTGAGACGTGGAGTTTTGGGTGTGCCTCCTTGCTTTCACACAGGGTTGGGACAGAAAGCAGGTTTCCCCCCTCGTCTTGGCATTAACAATCACACCCCCCCCCCACTGCATTACCAGAGTAGCCAATGGAATCTTCTCCGTGTCGAAATGTGCAGGTTAGTGAACTAACTGTGAAGATATTTTTTTTGTCCCCTCTACCCTGCAGGATTTTCTTTGTTTGTTTGTTTTGTTTTTTTCTGGAAGTCATCCAGTCCATATACTGCCAGCCCCAGCTCGCCAGTCTTACTTAATTGTGTGGCTTTAATTAGAAAATTGAATTTGTGCTCGTAAGAAGTGTTTACCTCCAGTCCTAGTTTTCTGACACCTGAGACCAAGATGGGCAGAGAGGAGGGGGGGGGGTCAGCTCTGGCCTTGGAGGCTGCCGTCACGGCCCCCGTTTGCCCCAAGTGTGACTGCACAGCTGGCAGTAAGTAGAGAGATACCAAGCAAGGCAGTGCAAGTGTAGCCTTCTTGCCTTTTCACAAGTGCAGACTCCAGGCATCACTCCTGGCCTTCCTACTTTCCACTCTGTGGTCAGCAAGTAGGGAAAGCCAGGTGATAAGCAAGAGGGAACAGTCTGAAGCTAGTTTTGTTTCACAGGGAGCTATCAGATTAGAAGTACCCACCACCCATTCCGTGTGGGTATTGGAGAATGGCTGCAGAAGGTTTACGCAGAGAATAGGGCCTGCTGTGTATGTACTCTTGAAGCTGGAATTCCTGGGTTCGCCTTTACCTTCTTTACAAATGCTGTGTATCTGTGCGTGTGCCTGGCTGGCCAAGTGTAACATACATATCTTTTTATCCCTTTCTTCGGGCCCTGGAAGAACTTCCTTTCCTATTCTGTGCTGTTGTGCTGTGATAAAACAGTGTTTTCTCTTGCATTACTGTTATGTGTGGACAGTGTCCTGAACCACAAATACCAAAGCTAAGATACAGTGTGAGAGCGTGCCAGCTCTTCCCAGAACCCCTGGTTGAGTCTTGTAGTTACTATACAAGGACTTCTCCTTGGACTCAATTTAATGAAGCTGCTTGTAGAAGAAATGCTCATAGCATGAAAATGCTGCCTGCAACTGCAGTTTTGCAGTAAAAATGACTAAGGGCAGTTTAAGCAGTAACATCGAAGGGAGGCTCCACTTTACCAGTCAGTGACAAGAAGATGAAAACCAATCATTTCTGTGTGTTTCAGGAAAACAACTAAGGCTAGGCAAGCGCTTGTTTTTCTTTGTAGTTTTGTTCCTAGTTTACTGATTTTTTTTTTAAATAAGACATTTTAACAGAACCTTTTGCAGAGGTGTCACATGAAATTCTAAGTAGCAAATCCCAACTGCTTTTTAAAAACTAAACAATCTGAAGAGCGTTTTAAGACCTGAGAAAGGAGGAATTGGGTGGTTGTATAGAAGAGATAAATGCCTTCACAGGCCTTGTTCTAGGAAAGTCTGAGAACTGCTTCATTTGAAATACTTCCCTTGCCCTAAACACTGCAGTTGAATTTTATTCAAAATACTCCCTTAGGATCAACACGGCAAGAGCTCCTAATGCTTCAATCTATTTACCATTAGACGCAGCAGCCGGTCACTGTCCACAGGATGGTGGAATGGGGTCTTGATGTATGTGGGAGGGATGCTAGAATACAGTAAGTTGCAAACAAATCATGAATTTAATTCAGGAGACAAACGAGAGAATAACTTTTCTGTTTGTCTTCTGGAAGTATTTTTACAGAGAGCATCATTTCCATTTGAAAAAAAAATGCTTCCCTTTCTATTTCATATACTGCAATACTTCTTTTACAAAACATAATTATGACTTGATTTAAAAAAACTTTTACCTTTAAAAATATTTAAAATAAGTTCCTTGAGCATGTTGGTGCAGTACATATCTGTCATAGGATAACATTAGACTAAGTTGCTACATTTATTGCAAGATTTTTTCCCTTTGCCTTTAAAGAATAAAATAAAGCCCTTGTGAGGATATTTTTTCCTTTAACTTTTTGAAATTAGACCCAAAAAAAAGGCTATTAAAAAAGAGCCAGCCCACGATAAGAACTTTTTGAGCATTGCTTTTAATTAAGATTCTTTCAAGTTATATTCAGATTCAGCACTCTCCTAAAATCTGCATCAGAAAGAATTACCCTTGCTGCATCAGAAAATTAGGGAGACACAACCCAGCAGACAGTCTTCCATCTTAGTCTGCAACATTGAGAGATAAAACCGTGACAGAAGTGCCCGTTTCTGCTTTCTTGCCCCCCAAGCCTGCCCACATTTTTAAGTCAGCCAATTCTTGAGGCTGCTCTCCCTGGTCCGTAGACTGGCATTTAGCAGAATGGCACTCGGCGTTTGGGACTGTTGCTTTCTTGGGCAGAAAATGAAAGCAGTAATAATGTCACCCAGTTTCACCAGCCTTCTCTTCCTTCCCCGTGCTTCTCTGTGGGAGGGCTCCTCGGCAGGTGAGTGACCATGGACCAGGAGACAGAAGACACAGGTGCTCCGTGGTAGAACTTCAGTCCCAGCCGCCTGTGGTCTCCAAAGCTCATGTAGTTGAGCCTGCAGCTAACCTTGGGGAAGGAGAACTTGGCAGGAGACTTCTTTTACACTGCTCAAAGGACCAGCTTTGAAAACTCGGAAGCATTTAGTCACCCTGGACGAGAAGGGCTAGGTTGGGCCTCCAGATACCTGTGTGTCTGGAATTGAGCCCTGATGCCTCTTGCAGCCCAGCGTTCACACTGCCTTTCCCTGGCAGATGAGCTAGGCATGCCCTGATTTACAATCAGAAAATGATGGCAATAATTAATTTACATATTTTATAGCAGTGACTGTTTAAGCAGTTTGAGGAGAAGCCAGTTTTGCACCCAAACTGTAGACTGTATTCCTCAGCACAGACACAGGATCACACACCAGAAACACCTTCAAGCCTCTAAGTCATGAAGCACACCGAACCTTAGGAGGATCATCTCCCAAGCACCTGCGTGCTCTCTGCTCGCCTTAACGGCATTTGCTTCAGATTTTACTAGCAATGAGATGTACAGACCATGAAGTTGTCCTGTGACTGCCCCCCCAATCTAATTCCTGCCTCATTTTCTTCAGGGGTAAGGAGGACTCTCCTTAACTTGGCCTCTCAATCGTTTTCCCATATAACTTTTTTTTTAATGTTTAGGGATAGTTTTTGTTGTGGCTAACATTTGGTTTTTTTAATATTTTTATAATTTAATGTAATGCAAATTATCAGCATAAGGTAAACATATTTAATGGTGAGTCTGTATAAAAGTCTTGTGCAGACTTGGCAATGGTCTTCCTGGGATGAGAGTGCCTATTATCTTTGTAGTATTTTTTAAGAATGACCATTCTCAACCTTACCAAGATTCAAGATACCTTTTTTCTTTTGACCACACCCACCCACTCACCCACCTACACACACACACACACTGCTGAAAGAGAAGTCGTCATTTATTTTGAGTCCTTTAAAACAGCCTACTGAATTCACAAAGGTAGCACGTCTGATTGGCTTCTTGCAGGGACTGTAAAACATGCCAATTTCAACTTTTTCTCTTTGTAACTATAGGCGTTGACTGTCAGTATGAGCTAAGTTAGAGGGCAGTAGGGAGCATGTTTTTCTTCATTTTAAGGAATTTTTACAAAACCTGGACTTCATTTATATTGGCCACGATCTGGATTCCTTCCTGAGCACCCCACACACACACACACACTCCCACTGTACAGTTCTAAGGGGTCTGAGGGCACAGCCGAGGGCAACACCATGCAGACACCACAGGCTTGAGTCCCAGAGCCCTGGGGCTTGCTACACATGTGGTCTCTTCCTGCCCTTTCCCCTTCAGATCGAATGAGCCGGGTTGGAGGGCCTCCAGGTGAGGGTCAGCCACTCTGCCCACTGCCCATCCTCTCTGTAATCTGAACCAGTCCCATCCCTGCTCAGACAGGGCAGTCTCCCAGGGTCCCATCTCCTTGTCTTTCCATGAGACGCACATTCCCTTTCCAGGAAAGATCAGGGCATATTTAGTAGCTCAGGAAAAGGAAGTCGGAACAACCAGATTCTAGCCGTCCTTTTAGTGAAATCGAGGCCACCTACTTCAGATCTCAGGGACTTAATGTGTTATACACCTGTGTTCTAAGTGGTAAGCCTCTAAATGTGAAATGGAGGGATTTTCACCTGTGGGTTGATATAGATCCTGGTTTTTGGGGGGCCAGTACAGCAGAAGGGGAGACTGCAGTGGGCCCGTAAGCCCTCCGAGCCTTCTGTCTCACTTGGCAGGAAAACACAGAACAACAAAAGAAGGCTCTTTTTCCACAAAGGTTCACCCCCTCCTCCCATCCCCCACGCTCTTCCCCAAAAGGGGCCTGAATTTTTCAGCTGCGCACCGATTTGGTGCTCACTCTTGCAGGGAAACAGTTGCTGTCTGAACAGGCAGGAAACAGTTTTCTTTTAATTGCCGGAATCATTCGGAAGTGCTTCGTGCCCTGCTTCTATGCAGCAGATGCTGTGCATTAATTGGCCTGCGTAGAAGTGACCCGGGGTTCCTTGCAGCGGGCCCAATTTTAGGCAGAGGGTTTAAATAGCTTATTTATTATTTTGTATAATCTGCCGTGCATTATGTGCTCCTGCATGTGTCGTGTTTCATGGTCTGCAGTTTCTAATGTCATGTGGGTTTCAAAGCCCGTGTTTCTCTGGTAATGTACTAGCAGCAGGTAAGCTCAAAGTACCATCCATCAGGAGCTAATTTTTTATCCAGATACTCCAATGACTGATGAACCTGTCTTTTGTATGAATGTTCAGCACAGTAGAAAGCCATATGCCACTGGCACAGTTTCCTCTGCATTCTTTACAGTTGCTAGAGAGTGGGTTTCTGGGGCGGGGGGGGGGGGGAGAGGCACAAACTCGACGGCATTTGCATCCTCTGGCCTGTATTTTAAGCAGTCGCACCTTCAACACAGCCTTGGGTCTGGATGACAAAAGAGGGTAGGGCCCATCTTAAAGGAAACCTGACTCCCACCATGATTTTCTCCCTCAGAAATATGACTGTGCACCCTTAATAGGGAACCTTGTTTTGTTCCTCCCCGTCTGTTGCAAACAGACCTCAGCCCATTAGAAGGGCCTCCCTTGTGTGGGAAGACCACAGCTGTTACTGTGAAGCTCATCCAGTCACTGTATCACCCCCATTTTGTGGCTCTGAAGGATGAAATTGAGAAATGGAGCCCTGTGCAGTCATCCTTTACGTCTTCAATTTTAGGCCTTTGCCATCATTTTCATGCTTTTATTCCAAGTCAAATAACATTAGTGGGCTACAGCACCTTCTGGTGAATGTCTGTTCTCAAGCACAGCTTTCAAGGCTCCACTCTGAGGGGCTTCCTTTCATGTTTGGCAGAGAACCCCCCTCCTTCTCATGCCCACCCTGCATTTTCTTTGAGCTTTTTTAGGGTGATGACAGTTTGCAGTTCGAACGATACACATTGCCATGCGGGTCCCAGTCAGAGCATGTTTTCTGAGAAGGGGGCATGTGCTGGAGATGGTTCTGTACCTTTTAATCTTTGTGGAAAGAGTGAAGGGGTCTTGGTAGAAGGAGATTGGGGGCTTTAATCAGAACCAAGATGTGGCTTAAATCATTAGCACAACAAAGCATACTATAAGCTTCAAGATAAAAGTCCCCTGGGAAAGGAGTCCTCTGAAAATAAATGGAACTTGATAGATTTCCATATCATTTATAACTTCCCTTAATTACACTTGGAAGACTTGCCAGTAAAACTGGAAAATTGGCAGCCTCTCTCCATTAGAGTCATTTTGCCGACCATGGCAAGCAGCTGGCTTCGCTGGATTTTATTTCCCATCACTCACAATTAATCATCAGCTGGAGATGTCTGAAACTGCTCAGCACAGAGTGATGCTGGGTGACATTCAGGCCCCTAAACATGTGAAAATCTGCTGAGTAAATGGGGCTGAGTTCTCTCACAAGCTTTACTCTTTTGGGGCAAGCCTAGCTCCCACTTAATGAGGGCTGCTGTAAGAATCTGATTCGAATGTGAACCTTGACCCTGTGTCAGAGGAGAGGATGCAATAAGCTGGATGAAAGGCATGGAATTCAGGTCTCCAAACTTTGCACCAATTAGACAGCAGAGAAGCACATCAGGCTGACTGCGTTCATCAGGAAGACTTGAGAGGCTTGTGACCATTTAGTAAGCCCAACTCTGGATACACCTGTCACAAGCAGTAAGTCTATCAGATGCCTCACAAGAGTGTTAGGGAAGCGTGTGTGCAGCCATGCTGCAGGGCTGGGCTGGCTACAGGCACTGTTATGGGGGGGGGCGTACTGCTGGCTCTGCTCAGGCTTACAAGGCTTGCAAGCAGTCCAGAAGTTGCTGCAGCAGGTGTGTGTGCTACATGTTCTGCAGGTGTGGACAGCGCAGGCAGGGAGGCTTCCTCTTGGTGGGAACTGGAGCCTGGCTGGGAGTAGTAATAGTCACAGCCTGGAGACTGCATTTTGTTTTTGACATGTGCTTGAACTGCATTCATTTCCAAGGGATGAAATAAGCTGAAATTAAGCTTGTCTGCATAACTCTTTTTATATACTTGCTTTTGAATTCATGTGTATCATGTTCTAGTTGGATCAAACATATCACTGACTTGTAAGGCACCAAGGGACATTTTCCCACAGCTACCTCAAGAAAGTGGCCTCTAAACATGGCTGAAAGGAGAAAGAGCAAGGTAGTGGTGGAAGACCATGGGTTTCTGCTCACAGTTAAATGACGCAAGGGGACCAGTAGCGAGGGGATGTAGGAAGGACACAGGGGCGGGGCGGGGGGGGTGTAGATGGAGGGCCCAGGTCTAATTCTATGAGTTGTTGCTGGGCCGAGAGTCAGGCAAAGGCAGCTTGCTTTTCATCAAATGACCAGTTTTGCAATCGGAGCGAGGGTGGAGGGTATGTCAGCTTTGAGACTTCACTTCTGACCAGATGAATAATTTGGGACCTAGTCCTTGCACTCATGCAAGTATCCAGAGCCATCCAGGGAGGACGGTTGTGGTGGCAAGGCACCCTGAACTGGCCCACATCCTTCTGTTCTAGCACAGTCTGGTGGGAGGGGAGCTGTGACCCGGTGAAACTATTCCTTAATGTTCACTGTGAGTAGTGTTGGCTCCTGAACGTGACCACTGGAGACCTCCAGGCTTCTTAAGGAAGACTGTAAGGACACTTGTGTTAAGGAAGGGTCAGGGGACGGCTCTGTCCAGACAGCAGGTCTTGAGCAGTGTGACACGAGATGAGCAGTGACAGGTGACACAGCTGCCGACAGAGCACAGTGAGGCACAGGGAAACTGACGGGATGGGCGAGGAGACTCTAAGCCAACCCCTTGTGCTCTCAGCTGCTCACAGAGGAAGCCAGGGCAGGTGGGTATGTGGAAGGCTACCACATAAATACCCATGGTGAAGACGTGTCCATCTGACAGCAAGCAGTGACCAGAGCCCAGAGGTAGAGGTTTGATTTCTAATTTTTGGATAGGATTTCACCGTGTTCTAAGGAGCCATCTGTGCTGTTACCTGCAGGCCAGGGTCAGGGACACTTCAGCCTGGCTGCCGGATAAGCTGTCCGTTCTGCTCTGGCCATGGCTGGGCTCATAGGCCTTCCTGTGTGACTCAGTGACACCTGCCCTTCTGCTGGCTTTCTTGACCTCCTACCTGCCTTTGAGGAGAGAAAAATGGTTCTAACATGATGGCAAGAAGGAGTAACTGTTCTGACACCTCCGGCCGGGGCATCTGCGTCATCTTGGCTCTGCTGTCTCCTGTCCCCCTCTTTCTGAAGAACAACCCTTTGGAGGTGCTGGGCCTGTACTGCAGATGCCAGGTGAAATGAATCAAAAGCGGCAGTGAGCACTGAGCTCTAAGCCTGCTTGTCAGCAGTGCCTCTCCTCCGTGCCAGCACCAAAGCCTTGGCATCTCCTTCCTTCCTATATTCCCGTGCCAGAAAAGCACAGCCCACCACCTGAACAGCAGAGGAAAGAATGCACAGGGCTTCAGTGCTCACACTGCCAGCAAGACAGCTTGTGCCACACAGGGAGCCAGGAGGGGACTTGGAGATCATTTGGGGATGGCAGGAAAGAACATTCCCCGGGTCCTTCTGCGGCATTGGCCAACACTGTCACACTAGTGCGGCTGTCCAGGAGTCCCAGCCAGCACCCTCTGCAGCGCTCTGTGGAGCCTTCGGCCTGCCACTTCATAGAGCAAGAGACCCTTCTCCACAAAACAGAAAAAGACCTCTTGGCCCAGGTCCTTGGTGCTTAATCATTAAGGCCAGGGAGAAAGGAGTAAGAAACATGGCTTTTAGTCACAGCTGACTCCTGGATGGATGTCCCAGATTAACCCTGTGGGCATGTGCCTGCTCAGCCTGGATCTCCCTCATGGGCAGAGGAAAGCCAAGCACCACAAGGGGCTTGAACAAGCACCTGCGGAGCACTCAAGGCCATCTTATAAGGACTGGGCATAGCTGGAGAAATGTTAGTACTTGTATGCCTTGTGGGTGGACAGCAGCCCTGTCGGCCCTTACGCTAGGCTGTTATCTTCAGCTCCCAGGAGAAAGGCAAGCATGGACCTTTTGGCAAGGGGTTACTGGATTCTGATTCCCATGTGGTATGCTTCATCCCTTTAAAGCAGACAAGTTGCTGGTGATGTTTATGCATAGTTGTAAAATCACCACAGTAATTGCAGAACTTTTCTTTTTATCACTCTGTAAAGGACGCTTTACCCTTTGGTAGCCATACTCCTTGTCCGGCAAACCCAGTCAAACGCTAATGAGTCCCTTGGTCCTTAGGTATCTGCCTGTTGCAGTCATGGCAGGGAGGCAGGAGCACTGGTTTTGTAGCATCTCTAGCTGACTCCTAGGACCCTGGGGGAGGCCCCATATGCTGCACTCATGATCTCCCAGCACAGGCTTTTCTAGTGAGAACCTGACAACAGAGTGGATGGCCTTTCTCTACTGTCTCCTGAGATGTACCTACTGTGGTGGGAGCCATCAGAAGTCACTGGCGTTTCCGTGACCAATCAGCACATCTGACAAAGAAGTTAATGGCTTCACTCTTGGATGTTACTACAAAATTAGGTCAAACATAGATCTTTAAAGAACATTCTATTTTCCAGGTAGCAGAAGGCCAGGAAATCTGTGTGATTGAAGCTATGAAAATGCAGAACAGTATGACAGCCGGGAAAATGGGCAAGGTATGTCCGCCAACTCCAGCCTGTGATGGGTTGGTCTCCTTAACTAGAACGTAGAGGTGATCTCTGCCACCTGTCCCTTTCCTGGGACAGATATCAGGACTTGGGAGCTCCACTCTGCCAGTTTGTCTCTGCCTCCTGGAGAGGTGGCTTTCCAGGAAGGGGGCCTATGTGTTATGTTCAGGTAGTCAAAGCACAATTGTTCTCCACATTAATGTCTTTCAGATGAAGGGGTTTTAATTTTTAATGTTTACATCTGTCTCGGAGGCAGTTAGTTATGTGAGACTTAGGTGACACAGCAGGAAATGGTTTTACAGAGTGCAAAAATTAATGTAACTCTTCAAGATAATTTCCCCTTGAAGGGAACAATTCAGTTGTAGATGGAGGAGCTGAAGCCCCATGTACATGTGAAGGGCTTAATGATTCATGGAAAGATAAAAAGGTTATCAGTACTAAGACAGACAATTAAGAGTACAACTTGAAGAAAGGCCCTGGTAAATGAAAGCAGTGGTTTTGCTGTTCTTCCTGTGACTAAAGGGATGCAGTCATTCAGAGTAAGTCCCCTTCCCAAAGGATGTCCGGGTTTCCAAGGATCTACATAGACCGTGACTGGGGATGAGGACAGCAGCAGAGGCTGGTTGTGTCCTATGCTGTGGCCTTCACCGTGGCCACACTTTGGGGGCGTTGGGTTCAGAGAGAGGTGTCAGTTACAACCTAGTGTGCATCACTCAGCTTCGGTCTGTTCTGTGGTCTCTTATCCCAACAGGCAGTGTGTTGGATTCTGAGAAGGTGGCCTAGACTGTCTAATCTGCTCCTTGTGGGAAAGTTACAAGGCCCCCTGCAGATTCAGTGGCCCCAGGCTAGGGAGAATTAAGATAGATAGCAGTCTCATTCCTGGGCTTTGACAGTGTAGAACAGAATGGACCTACGAGGTCTTCATTACCCTTCTAAACCAAGTGTGGTGGCTCATCTTCTAGGAGGTGGAGGCAGTTAAATAATAAGCTCCTAAAAATACAGACACACAAAAAATATAAGCTTTTGGTTCATGTAAAACTCATTTTACTTGTTCTTTGCAAACACTGCACTCGTGTCATGATACGAGCTTAGCCTCGTCATGGGGACCAAGAATGGGTGTGTAGTCAGGCCAAAGGCCCAGCCCGTGGTGAGGTGCTGACACAGCATGGCATTAATTTTTGAGGCAGCATGGGGCCCAGTGCGTTGGTTGTCTTATTTGCTTGCTGCTTTGGGGGTATTACAGGAGCAGCCTGGCTGCTACCTCATCCCGAGCCCAGAACTGCTTGAAGGAGTGCTGTAGGTGGGGCAAGTCTGCCTTAGCAAGACCCAGCTAGCTTAGCCCCACCCCCCATCCACTCATTCCATGGGTCTCTGGAGTTGAACCTGGTAAGATAAAGGAGTAGCTCTGGCTAGGTCCGGAGCTAGTATTTCTTCCCTGGAGGGCACATTTTTTCCTCTGAGAAAAGGTTCAGGGTGGAAACAGAGCCGCATGAAGATCTCCTACAGCCCAGTCAAGGTGCCACTCACTATTAGACACATAGCATCTGTCCTTCAAGGCCTCTGAGTATACTGCTTTATTTACATAGCTGTACACTGCTCTTAGTTACCCTAGGCTCACAGTGGAGGGACAGGCCTGTGCAGCAACCTGGATGATTCCTGGCATTTTTATTTGCTTAATGCCAACATGGCCAGTTAGGTCAAAGCCACTGTTCTTTTTTAAAATCTGCTCTTTTTTAAAAGCCTGCTCTTTTTTAAAATCTGAAAACAAATCTGGAGAAGCAAGACAGGATTACGTTCAAGAGAAATTAGAAGAAAAAAAGCATAGTTCCTCATTCTATGTCACTCAATTGAAGTGGGGGTATTGATTTGATTTCTTTCAAAAGAAGGGAAATGGTCAGACTAGGAGATCTCTCCTTTTGACTGGCACCTGTTTGGATTGTTGTGTAGCTGTTTGGTTTTTACCATGACACTAAACACACCTAGTTTCAAAGCCATAGGATGAGGCAGGGATGCACCAGTCTGGAAATTTCAGGGGCTTGGGAGCAGCCCACAGCTTCCATTGCTGAGTAACAGGACCAGGAGTGAATCACGGGCCTCTGTAGGAACACATGGTCTAAGTTTTTGGGCATAAGGCCACTAATGCTCAGAAGAAATTAGGATGACTGGTCCTCTTGGTTCTGTTTCTCACTCTTCCCTAACCATTTTAATTCAAGGTGAAATCGGTGCATTGCAAAGCTGGAGACACAGTTGGTGAAGGAGATCTGCTGGTGGAGCTGGAATGAAGTATTCTGAGCCTTTCAGTCATCTCAGCTTTAATTAGCATTTCTATTATTCTCTAACCCCTCAGTTTGTTCAAGCGCTTACAGGAGCACTCCTGTGCGGCAGGTTCTACAGCATCATATTTATTCCTCACAAGAGGCAACGCTGACGTTCTGCCAAAAAATCACCAATGGAAATTTTTATTGATATAAATACTTGTACATATGATTTGTACTTCTGCTGAGATTCCCTAGTGTCAAAATTAAATCAATAAAACCAAGCACTTGTCTAAATATTAGTTTGCCCTTTTTTTCTGAATGAAGACAATATACACAGAGGCAACAGGCTGTGCCAATTGACTGTAAATACTAGCATTTCCTTGTGATCCTTTAAAAATTTATATAAATTCCAGTTTTATAATCTGATTACCTTCCTTATTCCATCATTCAGGACGGATTCCTGGGACTTGTTATTCATGATTTCCTCAGACCAGGTAGCACAGATGAAGGGTCTGGAAGCCTCTTCTGTATGGGTCCGAAGAGTTGGATCACCATTTTGGGGTCTGTAGACGCGCTGATCCAATGATAAGCATGCTGTCCAGGTCCCTGCTATCCAGGTCCCTCTTCCTCGCTCCCAGTGGCTAGGCCATCACCGCACTTTCACTGTTGTGTGCAGGGCTGCCAGCCCATCAGCTGATACCCGCCTTTGCCTTTCTATTTTGTGAAGCAAGTTTCTAATTAAGAAAAAGGGCTAAAAATAGCAGTCGTGTTTCTGTGCCAGCTGCAGTTAGTGATCAGTCCACCATTATGCTGAAGAGCGAGCTCTTAGTGGAATGCCAGGGCGCTCAGGCAGCAGCTGCATTCGGTTCTGCAATTCCCGGAATCCATTTTCTATTTTACTAGGAGGCAGAGGCAGAATCATGTGCAACTTGCATCTATGCTGACAGATTCTCAGATGGAGGTGGACGGTAATTGGTACTTCGTGTCTTCCTAACATTATTTTAAGTGCTGTTTGTATTCGGAAGCAAAGCTCTCTGTCAGGCCTGAGGAACAGATTACTAATGTGTTGGTTCTTCTGAAAGGCCCACCCCCAAGGGCTGCACCTTCAGGTGGCAGAGATGCACTGGCGGCTGAGAGCTGGGCAGCCATCAAGGACATAAAGTCTGAGGGCTCAGCTGTCTCCCAGCAAGCCACTACTCCTGACCTGACTGAATTAGAGTGAGAAACACCTTCTACCGAGTAAGTACACCAAACTTACATTTTGGTGGCTGTTTTAGTCGTTGTGTGTGATCTGGAAACTGTAAGGGGTGATGGAGTGCACAGTCTAGGGGCAGCATGCTTTCCTTGAAGACATTTTCCCACTGAACCATCCCAAACCAGCATTTCTCACCAATTCTTTCTAGATGTCGTGTGTGGGAATCAATATATTCAGCTTCTGAGATCCAGCTGCAGCCACGTCTTTAGTCACAGAAGATGCCATCTTCAGATTAGAGCAAAGCAAATCAAATCAAAAAAGGAGTGCCAGGTACCACTGCCACTGAGGGGCCTTCGGCCCAGAGTGTTTCACATCTAGTACCTGCAAGCCTAGGAGCTCCTTGAATAGCAAGCAATAGTAAGTAGCATCAGATTAGAGTATCTGCAAAATTTGTGTCGGAGATCTTTTGCCAATATGTCTTATAGACAAGAGGATGGGCCAGGAAAGCTCTGCCTGTGCTAGGCAGCCACTGGGCTCCCTCTATCCTGTTAGCCTCTGGGGCATGAGCCCCTCACCTGTTTTCCCGGGGGTTGTAGCGCAGCCCATGTGGGCCCTCGGAATCATAGCTTGCATGGTAGGGGAGATGCAGCCACTCGGGTGCATAGGTGGCTGTACTGTACACGAAGCACTGGAGGCTGTCCACAGGGCCACCGGCACCCACCCACTCAAGCACCCGCACCTGCAGGGCTGTGCGCTGGTACATGCTGGGGCAGCCTTCAAAGTCATCCAGGAATCGCAACATCTGTTCATCCACCTTGTAGATCTCACCTTCCACACAGTGGCCCTTGCCTGGCACGTGCAGCAGCCAGGGGATGTTGTGCTCACCAGCAATCACCAGCGGGAAGGACTCAACTGTGCAGCCTCGGCCTTGAAACACCGCGGAGCCATGCGACGGGTCCAGCATGACTTTGTGGTTGGGCTGGCCTCGTTTCAGAGTGCCATACACGAAGATGTGGGCCATCTAGCTGCAGACACTACGGAGGAGAGAGCAAGTAGGCATGTCAGCAGGTGAAGCGCTCCCTCAGGGCATCACATTTACTCCACTCTGCTGGCCCAGCTTTATAAGGAAGAGGAACCACAGTTTTCATGTCATGACATGCTTTCTCTAGGTTTTTAAAAAGCTGAGAGACGCACCGGGCCAGCCTGCTCTGGAGTTTGTAAGCCTGAACCTAGAAAGAGCAGCAAATATTACTGATTTTAAAAACCAGGGATGGTGACAAGGTATGGTGTGCCACATACCTTCAACTTTAGTCCATGGAAGGGAGGTAAATCTCCGAGTTCCAAGATGGCCTGGTCTACACAGCAAGCTCTAGGTCAGCCAAGGCTGACTTGTGAGACACAGTATCTGAGCGAGGGATGTAACAGAGACTCCAAGCCTTAGAGGAAGAACACTTACTAAGCACCGTGGCACATGTGTGGCGGGAAGATCTTCCTTGTGTTTCTAGGAACTTGGAGCTCAAGTGATCCTCCTACCGCAGCCCTCTGAGTGGCTGGCATTAGAATACCATCACACCCAACAATTAGAATACCATCGCACCCGACAAACAGCGTCCACAGCAATGCTAAGGTAGGAAGAGCAGGCGTGTCAGCCGCTCCGCACCACCAGGACAGACTGACCCAGGTCTTGCAAAGAGCTCAAGCACAGCCCACATCTGGAGACAGTCCCTGAGCTTCTCAGGTCAGGGATCAGAGTGGGGTTGCAACAGAAAAACAGACAAGCCTTTCTTCAGCTGGGTATGGAGTACAGGTGGGTTTCTCAGGTCTCTGTGACACCCTTCCGTCTCAGAGCACAGAAGCAGGTCCTCTCCACTGCCCATGCCAGCCTGTGTGAGGCTTTGGGGAGGGGACTTGCCAGTGCGGGGACAGGAAGCACTGGCTAGCGACATCAAGCACTTGCCTGGCCAGCACCAGCCCCTGGAGGGAGGGACCCAAAGATGGATTGGTCTCTGTTGCCCTTTGAGATCTTAACGTCCTGCTTCCCTGCATGAAGCAAAAACAGTGTTTTAAGATGTGTAGCGTTCTGAATGAGAAGAGCCGCATCACTGGAGGGGAGCTTTGATGTTTCAAAAGCCAGGCTCTGTGCACCCACCTTGTGAAGAAGATGTGAGCCCTCAGCTACTTACTGCTCCAGCACCATGCCTGCCTGCCTGCCTGCCACTGTGCTCCCTACTGTGGTGGTCATGGCCTCACCCTCTGAAACTGTAAGCAAGACCCCCAGTTAAATGCTTTCCTTTATAAACTGCCTCTGTCATGCTGTCTCTTCTCAGCAATAGAATATAACTAAGGTAAAATACAAACTTTAAAATCAATTTGCTGTTGAAATCCTAAACTTAACATTTACTGCGTGACTTCAGGCAGATCACCAAGCCTTTCTGTGTACAGCTTCATCAGCTGTAAAAGTGACATAATTACATCAGCCTGCCTCAGACCCTGGAAATGGGAGAATGATGAGAATTCTGGGGAGAGGAAGCAGAGAGAGAGAGAGGCCATGCAGCTGCTGGGAAGACAGGATGTGCTGGGCGTTCTCTGGTAAGATAAGGGCATGCAGAAATACATAGATTAATAGTTAGCCCGTATGAAGCCTGAGCCATCAGCCAAACAGTTTATAATTAATGTAAGTCTCTGTGTATTTCTTTGGGGCTAAACGGCTGTGGGACCAGGTGAGAAAGAAACTCCATCCACATACATAACGGAAAGAGCTCCAGACCGAGAAGCCGGGAAGGGCAGCCTTGGATGGATGGAGGGCAGCCAGGTGCCAATACAGAGAAGTGCTCACAGTTGTTCCTGCCTTCATTAATTGCTAGAGCTTCAACACCAAGGAGAAAAGGAAACATTTCACCCTGGCAGAGTAAGTTCCCACCAGAACTTGGTTTGGCTTTGAATCCTGTTGGGCACTGATCACAGAGCTGCTGTGTGCCACCTCAGGGCTTTGTATGGTAGGTGGCATGCCCTCATTTAACATGTTACAAGTCAGGGGCCTCAGAGGAAGGTTCCAGAGCAGCAATAGGAGTTGAAACCAGGGCTTCCTGATGTGGAAGATTCCAGGCTACTCTAGGAGCCCAGGGCTAGGAAAGTGACTACCTCAGGACAATTTCCTAAGGCTCCCTATACCCTTCACCTCCCACCATTTGCTTTGAATGTGTTTTGGAAAGAAAAAAAATAGAATTTTATGCAACTGTGATAAAATCTGCTGAACAGAAAACCACTTTTCTTTTTCTTAAACTTTTCTAACTGCTTTTACATGGGTTAGCATGGAGGCACAGCATTGAGAGACAGATCTCTAGCCAAATTCTATCCTTTGAATTTCCCCTCAACCTCAGTCCTATTGCCCATCTCCTAGAGGTTTGCTGTCTTATCCACCTTGCGTAAGTGGAAGCAGTCAGCACTGTCTTTTATGGCTCGTTTATTTTACTTCCTGCCATGTTCTCAGGGTTCATTCATATAGTGTATGTCAGATTTACTTTTTAAAACTAACTAATATTCCACCATGCAGACATCCCCCAGTTTTCTTTTCCTTATCTCTTGGTGGACACTTGGGTTGGCTGCTGCCAATAATGTTTCTGTGAACATGGATGTGCAGGTTACCTCTTTGAAGTCTGTGTACACTTATCCAGAAGCAGCTGGTTCACATGGTAACTGTTTTCTGTCTTCCAAGCACAGGTTCCAACCTCACTTCAGTGCCAGCAGCCATGGTTGCTTCTAGAGTATTTGGTGTCCCCAATGGTTAGTGACCTTCAGCATCTTGCATGCACTTTATTGGGCATTGTGTATCGCTAGGACTGTTTTTATTGGGCAAAGGCTCAGCTAAACTAACTGTGCTGTGCCATGCTTTACAGTACGATGGTCATCCTGGTTGGATACATACCTACACTCACTTCCGTAGTTTACCTTGTCATTCTGTTAACTATGTCTACTAATGCACATACATTTTAAATTTTGATGCATTGAAATTTATTTTTAACTTTGTTGCCTATAATTTTGGTGTCATATCCAAGAAACCATTCTCAAACTCAATGTTATGTGGCTTTTCTTTTCTTTTTTTTTCCTGGTTTTTTGAGTCAGGGTTTCTCTGACTGTCTTGGAAATTGCTTTGTACACTAGCCTTGAACTCACAAGAGATCCACCTGCTTCTGTCTCCTGAGTACTGGGATTAAAGGTGTGTGCCACCATGCTTGGCTAGTCACATGGCTTTTCAAACTTAAACTCTTACATTTAGGTATTTGATCCATTTTTACTTTACTTTGTTTTTATATAAAAGTCTAACTTCATTAATTTGCATAAATATACATGAAAGGATCTACTATTAGGCTCTCTCTCTCCTACCCCATTTCACTATCAGGTTCGTTTTCAGGCTATTAACACATGAGTTTGACTGTCACAACTTTGCAGATTTTCTGTTTGATATATCAATCTTAAAGTGTGAGCCTGGGCAAGTCTACCTGCGACCACTCTGTAGCACATCCAACCCAACCCATCCGCCCAGCAAGCTCTCCCTCAAGCTGCTCCAGAGTCTAACCCAATGAGCCTCTCTGACCCTCCTGTCCATGAGCCTTCTGCACAACCTACCAGATCTAGCCCAGGTCCCACATTTACCAGTGCCCAGGTTCTGTCTGGCTACCCTTCTCCTGTACTACAATCAATCTCTAGGGTTTTGCCTGGAATCACCCTACCTATATCTTCATACCACATAACCCAAGGGTCCCTCCCATACCATATTCAACCTTTCCACCAAGTCAGATCTACTCCAAGAGGCCATTCTTCTCTGTTCGTCTGAAGCCTTTTCCAAATTCTAAGCCCCATCCATCCACACGTCTTCTCTTCTGCCCCAACTGTTCTGTCCATATCAGACTCAGAACTAACAAAAGTCCATGTATCCAGATATTGCAAAATTAAAAACAATATGAAGGATAGCCAGTTTCTACTCTCCAAAACCTACCAGTCCTATAGAAGTGTCTGTCATTGATTACCAATAAGAATTACTTAGATGAATCCAGGACACAGAAGGACAATCATAAATTTCATCAAAGAATTCAAGGAATGTAAATAATATGCAAACAGCTCAGTAAAATTAAGACAGAGTAAAGTCCAAGAAAGCACAAACACAAGGCTGATGGAAATGATGATGGCAACCTAAGACTTTTGAGAATGGAATTCAACTAGGATGTATAAACATTGAGGCTGAAATGCGGATGGAATTGAAAACCCAGTAACTCAACTAGAAAACCCAAAAAGCCATACAAGTAGAGTGAATGAGCAGAAGACACAATATCAGGAATCAAAGATCAAGATAAAATAGGGGAAAAATTAAAAACACAAGAAAGGAATATAAAAGACGTGTGGGACATCATGAAAAAAAAAACCTTCAAATTATAGACACAGATGAGAAGACTCCCAAATCAATGCACAGACCAGATCTTCAACAAGATCATAAAAGAAATCTTCCCCAAACTAAGGAAAGACACATCCCTAAAGATACAATAAGCACCCACAGCACATCATAGTTAAAGCACTAAATACATAAAGTGTACTGAAAGCTACAAGAGAAAAAAAATACAAGTTACATATAAAGAAAAACTCATTAGGGTAACAGCTGATTTCTCAATGGAAAGTTTGAAAGCCAGAAGAACTGAAAATTCCAATTCCTAAAAGACCATGATGACCAACACAGACTGATAGAACCAGCAAAACTATCTGCCATAATTGGAGAAAGAAAAAGTTTTCACAGTATAAGAAATCTAAAAATTTGTATTCAATAAACATAAAGAAAATTGAGCAATGCTTTGGGCTGGAGAGAGGAATGACCATAGCTGAGGAACTGTGGAAAGAAATGCAAAGCCACAATTATTAAAACACAAATTATCAATGAGAATACAACACTAAAAATAACACAATGACTGCAATTACACGTTTCAACAATAATTTTAAATATAAATGACTCAATTCTCCAATCAAAAGACACAAGCTAACTGCATGGATCAAAAAACAAAATCCATCTCTTGTCTACAAGAAACAATTCAGCTTTAAAGATAGGCATTGAGCTAGAGTATAAAAGGATGCACAAAAGTCTCTGATCAAACCGAACCTGGAAGCAAGCAGGTGTCACTATCCTAATAGCTGACACAACATACTAATCAGAGGAGAGAAAGAGGGAGACACCAAATTCTGGGGTTCCCAATTTTTCATTTCTATTAGTGTTTTTTGTTTTTTTGTTTTTTTGTTTGTTTGTTTGAGACAGGGTTTCTCTGTGGCTTTGGAGGCTGTCCTAGAACTAGCTTTTGTAGACCAGCCTGGTCTCGAACTCACAGAGATCCACCTGCCTCTGCCTCCTGAGTGCTAGGATTAAAGGCGTGAGCCACCAACGCCCAGCTTATTGGTGGACTTTAAAGACACAGATTACTATGAACCCATTAATAGTAGATGATTTCAATATAGCAATTTTTCCAATGACGTGTGTCTTAGTTACTCTTCTATTGCTCTTCTATGGCCAAGACAGTTTATAAAAGAGCATTTTAATTGGGGGTTTGCTTGCCATTTCAAAGAGTTAGTTTAAAACCACATTGGTGGCAGAGGCAGGTAGATCTGAGTTCCAAGTTAGCCTGATCTACGTAGTGAGTTCCAGAATAGCCAGGGCTATGTAGAGAGATCTTGTCTCCCAAACAACCCTCCCCCAAATAATTCAGAAAGAGCACAAATAAATAGCTCATGATGCAACCACAAAAGTTGTAAAATAAGAACAAACCAAATCCAAACTCATTCATGGCAAGAATAAAAATAAGCGCAGAAGTCAGTGAAATAGAAACAAAGAAAACAATGCAAAGAACCAACAAATCTAACAGCTAGTTCTTTGAAAAGACAAAGTATGGAACTTTGGCCCAATTAACCAAAAGAAATAAAAGAATCCAAATTAACAGAATCAGAAATGAACACGGAAACATTACCACAGACACTAAATAAATTCAGAGTATTAAAAACCTATACTCCATTAAGCTAAAAAACCTAGAAGAAATGGATGGAATTCTAGATTCAGCCACATCACCAAAATTAAACAAAGAAATCATCAATCTACAGAGACCCATAGTCAATCCTTAAACTAGTGAAAGAAAGAAAAGGAATTACTCCCAATACAAACCCTTTTAACACCAAAACCAGGGAAAGACTCAACAAAGAAAACTCAGGCCAATATATTCACTGGATATAGACTCTAAAAAGCTCAACAAAATATTTGTAAATAGAATACAGACATATCAAGAAGATCATATACCACAACCAACTTGACTTTATATTTCTCTGAAATATAGCATAGTTCAACATACAGAAGTGAGTAAATGCAACAAACCACATAAGTGGACCTAAAACACAAAAATCAAATGATTATCTCAATAGACACAGAAAAAAACCTTTGACAAATCCAACATACCTTCATTATATAAGTCCTAGAGAATGTAGGACTAGAGGAAATATACCTCAACACAATAAAAGCTATGTGTGAGAAATCCCCAGCCAACATCATCTTAAATGGAGAAAAGCTTGAAGCAATCTCATTGAAGTTAGAAATTAGACAGTGCTGTCCACTCCCTCCACTTCTTTTCAATATTGGGCTCAAAATACTGGCTGGAAAAAAAAAGGGAACAAACAGAAGGAATCCAAAGGGACACATACAAACGGAGAAAGAAGTCAAACTATCCCTACTTGCAGATGAACAAATTCAGCGATGTGAGAGGAAACAGAATCAATGTGCACACACACACACCAACTTTTCTATTCACAACCAACAAACATACATAGAAATCATGGACATATGCCCATTCACAATAACTTCAAAGAAATTAAAATATCAATAACAAACCTAACTAAGGAAATGAAGAACCTCCACAAATAACACTTTCAACCTGTGAAGAGATAGACACTAGAAAATGGTAAGCCATCCCTTGCTCATGAACTAGTAGAATTAAGGTTGTGAAAATGACCATTTTACCAAAAGCCACTTACAGATTTAACACAATCCCAATAAAAATTCCCATTTCATTTTTCACAGAAATAGAAAAACCCTACAATTCATATGAAACCCCAAAAGACCTCAGCCAAAACAATCCACAGCAAAAAGAACAGTCCAGATTTGAAGATATATTACAGAGCCATAGTAATAAAAAACACTGTACTTATATAAAAACAGACCAATGGAACAAAATCAAAGATCCCAAAATGAGTATGTAATGCGTAGTCTTCCCACCAGTCACTTGGGTCCCACTGCTGTCTCAGCCCCCAAATAACACATGAGACACTATATGAATTATGAAGCTGTTAGCCATTTGCTTTGATTTCTTATTGGCTAGCTGTGACTTAATTATTAACCCATAACTGCTAATCTAAGTATCTCCACGTGATCTTCTCTTACCGGAGAAAGGGTCTGGACCTCTTACTTCCCCTGCATCCTACACATCGTGACTGACTGTGCCTCTCTTTCCCAGAATATTCCTCAACTCCTCCTCCCACCCATCTTGCTTCTTATTGGCCAACAGTGCTTTATTCACTAACCAGAGAGAGCCATGTACACAGAAGGACTTCCCCCATCACGTACACCGAAGCTGGCTTTGGAGTTAGATTTGGTTCTCCTCCTCTAAATCCAGGCATGTTGTTAAAATAAAATTCAGAATTTCTGTATTATATCAAGGAGCCAATTGATGTAAGACAGAAGAAAAAACTAGGGACTGTCATCTGTTTATACTGGGTTCTTTCTCTGAAAGTCTGATTTCCCTCATACTTACCATCTTCCTTATTGTTGCCTTATATGTATGGTATACATACATGTAAGGGTTGAAAATTTCTCTGTTGACATTAATAACGTTTGTGTTTTCCACAGAGAACAAGGAATTTTCTAACAGCAATCTTCAAAAAACTTTGGAAAGAAAATGAGGCCCCACATCACCGACTCTATCTGACAAGTACCATCCTGAAACCAGTTTGGGACTACATTGCTCTACACAACTCTGGACCAATGAACTGATATGGTGCACCTTCTACAATCTGACCAGAGCCTCAGACAAGAGCTTCGATCAACATTACAACTTCAGTCAAGAACTTCAATCAAGGACCGATAGCCTCCAAAACAATACAGAGAAACCCTGTCTCGTAAAAACCAAAAAAAAAAAAGAACTTCAATCAAGCATTCCCCGCCAACTGACACTGAATGCAAATGAGACTTTCATTACACTAACATTTTTTTTTCTACAGGATCCCATGAAGTTGTCGTCATCATCCCAGTTCAGCAGAAAATAATTTTGAGAAAACTACACCCCTTTTCCCTACTGTTGATATTGCAAGATAGTATACACCTGATAGGGTCAGTTTTCCATTATTTAGGGTTGGGATTGGAAGGAAGTGTTCAGACTTGGGCATCTCTTTCAGATAAGTTTAGATGGGATAGATATACTTAGGATAGGATATAAATAGATTATAATTTGCTCATCTTCTATGTATATATGTTGTATATGTTTGAGTTTATATCAAGTCTAAATATTTTATTTAGACTAAAAGGGGAATAGTAGGGAGAGATCAGGTACCTGTAGCTGACCAGGCCCCCTTGGAGCATGGTCACGGGTATGTGGGAAGATTCAGTTGATAAAAGAAGAACAGATGGGCGCTCTCTGTCGCTTAGATCCTGACTGCGGTTCAGAGACCATAGAGCGCTGACCCGGCTGTTCGTGTAAGTGATTGCTCTCTCTAAATATCTAGACCTCCTTTCCAATATTAGTTGAATGAATCTGTTCCATCTTCATGAGTATATGTAACTTCAGCCATTTAATATTTGACAAAGATGCCAAAAACTCAGGCTTGAGAAAAGAAAGCATCTTCAACAAATGATACTGGAAAAACTAATGTCTGCACAAAGAAGAATGAATTAGACCCTTATCTATAACCTTGCATGGAAACTAACTCTATGTGGATCAAGGACCTAAATATGACACTGGAAACACTAGAAGGAAATGCATGCCATCCCCTACATGATATATGTGTTGGAAAGAACTTTCTGAGAAAGACTCCATCTGCCCAAGAATTAAGGCAAGCAGAACTTTATAAAACTAAAAATCTTCTGTACAGCTAAAGAAACAACAGAGGAAGCCCACAGAATGGGAGAGAATCTTGGCCACCTATACATCTAACAGAGGATTAATATCCACTAATATATAAAGAGTTAAAAAAAAGACGTAAAAACAAAACAAATTTAACAAATGGGCCTGGGATCTGAACAGAGTTCTCAAAAGCAGGGAAAAAAAGAAAAGTCCATAGTCCCTAGCAGGGACAGGAGAAATCTGTTCTGATGCTTCTAGCCCCTAGGGATGGATGCTGCTTTCTGAGAGACATGCTAATTACGTATTCAAATTGCCTCTCCTCCACACACAGTTCTTTCCATGACTCTGGGTTAAGTTAGTCCAGTTTCACTTAAACTTAGCGTAATAATAAAGGGTAGAGAGCACAAAACAAAGATCCAAAGATCGCTGTTGTCTTAGTGCATGTTAAGTAGATAGTCCCAAGCCAGCCTGAACTATGATTCTGAAGGATGAGTGTGTTCTGCTGCATCAGACAATGTGGACTCAGTCTCCCCAGTGAGCATCACACAGGGCACTCACAGTAGGCATTTCAAGATGTAGAGCCAGGTTACGACCTGCACGCAACAATTGTAGATTTCTGAGAAAACCTTCTGTTTTCTTCTTTCTAGAATTGGGCTCATGTTTCCCAACGAGTTATTCTCTACTGACCACTGACTGCCAGCCATAAGCATCCAATGACCTTGGATTCCTCTTTCCCCTGACCCTTCCCTCTCATGCCCAGGTCCCTACCCCAGCTCCTCCTTTCCCAAATGCTGACTGTGGGGTTCTCAACTCAGCTCCTGAGAGTGCTATGGTAAACGTTCTGGTGGGGAGGGATTCAAGCTTTATCAAGTGGTGCTTTCAGAACCAACAAGTAGTCTCAGGAAGAGTACACTATACCACAGAATCATGACATGGACAGTGGTTTTCTACTTTATCAGCAACTTTCTTCTAAAGAAAACAATAGCTTATTTCTGTAAAAGATAACTAAGCAAGGGTGGCTAGCCTTTTCTCAGAAGCATTTGGTAAATGAATTCTTTCTAATATAAAATCAGTTTGAGAATACTACTCAAATGAATGTTTGTAGTGCAACATGCATGTTCCACATTTCTGGCTTTCATAAGAAAAACACCATTACCTTTTCAGATTGTGTTTTGAACAATGCACACAGATCCTTCAGGAAGCAACTCGTCCCTGTGGGGATTGGGAAAGGATCAGAGTTAAGCACTGAAACAAGCAATTAATTCCCATTAGAGGATTAAGGCACTCATGCTCACTTTGAATCAGGGAAGCAAGTTGAGAGTGAATGTACAACCAAGAGGTTATTTGTCAAAGTGAATAAATTAAAGACCCAAAGAGCAGCTAGATGCACAAGGGGAGCTGGGTAAGATTTCATGTCTGTGGGAAGGACTGCCTTTCTCTTTGCAAACACTGAGGAAAGCAGGGTCTGTGCCATATGCTTCTGTGTCCATTCTAACAGATGTGTCCTCTAGAAGTAAGCCCAGTCCCTCATCTTACCACATATGTGCAGTCTAGACAGCCGCACATGGCTGCTCAGCTTCGGTTTTGCTGGGAGCTCTAGAGCCTGTACTGAGTATATTTACGTAGTGTCTCTGTGGACGAGGTCACAGATATGGTAAGGACCAGGTGGCAAACCTACAATGTCAAGTCTGAGGTGCCCCAAAGAAGAGCCTTTGTCTCAAACTTTGTTATAACCTGGAATAATATGCCTATCCAGAAGTCATCCCAAAGGTAGAGTAGGCTCAGCGTCTCCAAATGCTTTAGCTCAGCAAAACCTGGCTAGTTAACACTTTCAATATTTATAAACCAAAACAACAAAGAAATGTCCATCTGGCAGGGCGCTGCCTGAAATGCTGTCACTCAGCAGTTTGCTTTCCTGTAGAATAATCCATCGAGTTTCATATTTCATCACTGAAGCAGATTCTAAGGCCTTAGCTTCACTGCTGGATTGGTCTTTCCCACTAGCCACCTGGTGGCAAGAATGTAAAAGGCAGGGCTTGAACTTTACTAAGGTAGTCTAAAAATCATGACTACTGCAATGTCAGTCCATACTTAAAATATGCAGCAGCTGAGTGAGCCAAATACGACAAGAGCCAAGGCTTAAAGTCTTCCAACATTAATTTGATAAAGGATTTTAAATGGATGTCACCTTCTAACATAAGAACAACTTTCTGAAAAGGTACCTCATTAAACATTCATACTGTTTATATTAAAACTTAGTGACACAAAGAAGTATTAGTAAGCTTTCCATGTCATCACTTCAGTCTGCCAGTTGTTGTGATAGGAACAAGTGGTCAGATGTGTCTACCACTCTCAGTGGCTGAAGGAGTCATTCCAGAACCAGGAATTTCAGTGCTATAGACCCACAGCAAAGCAATTATAAATGGTGTTTTCACTCGTTTCCAGCATCCACCATCTGTGTCAAAGTCGGCTGCACCAAGTTCACAACGCTAACCACAGCCTTTGTCTTCACCAACTCTACTAAATATCACCCTCTGCCCCCCATCCCACCCCCCCAGCAGCCTGGAACACACACAAATACACCCATAGTAACCCTATTTACCTTGGAGAAAAGGATGGGCACCTAATATACTCATTAATTATTAAATAAGTCTCTTAGAACTGTAGGAAACAGGTGAAAAAACAAGATGTTGTGAACTTTAAACCTGGCCCTGGCCTGTGAGCAGGAGCAGGCACTGAGGCCCTGGGCGTCTTGCCAGGGAGGGCTGGACACATTCTGCAGATGCTTTGATGCTCTTGTTTGGGTCTTTATATAAAGACAAGACCTTCCTGCTGGAGCCAGCTTTACCAATCTTACCACTATGCCAGAAAGGAGACAGCCAAATACTGTCCTCGCTGGCTACCTTTGAAATCAGGTATGACCTGCTCCAGACTCTTGTGGGTCTGGGAAAACAAATCTTTATGGCCCTAATGCCACAATGGGCTACAAATGTAGCCTTGGCAACGATTCTGTGAATTTTTAATATTTTGGTCATAACAAAAATGTTTTTCATGCTGTGTTACTTTAGAGACTCAGCGAATAAAGGTAAAGAAAGGTCCTTGACATTAACCCTAATGAGCTGAATTTGATGACTGGGAACCATGTGGTTGAAGGACAGAACCAAATCCTGCCCTCTACATGCATGCTGTGGTACACATGCCCTCCCATATATATTTTTTCTGTGTAATTTTAAAGACTTAAGGCAGTTATATACCATCTTCAAAGAACAGTGACCAACAGTATAGTCACAGTCTTCGCTTTTGCCCATTTGGAGTATGAAAGTGACTTGAAAATGAAAGTGACTTGAAAGCATCCCCAAACATTGACACTGGAAGGAGCCTTGTGCACACTGGCCAGGTACATTGGGTTCCACCAGGTGGCTCAGCAGCCAGACTCCTGAGCAGGCAGCTCCAGACCTTGGAACGTGCCAATAACCCACTGGCGCCACCTGCAGCTCAAGCTAAGTCCAACAGGGTGGCCACTTGGGAGACTGCTGTTCTTGGTCAAATTCCAGGTTTAAATGCTTCAGTTCCACTCTCAAGTTCATGGCTGAGGTCACACAAATTGTGGGCTTTAAGCAACTGGTGTGCAACACAGTCTGGGTGTAGGCCTTTAGGTATCTCACTCAGTGCTAGTCTGTGCCATCATTGCTGGTCAACACCCCACCAGAGGCCAAACAAGAGAGAGAGAGAGAGAGAGCCAAGTGCTGCAGATCCTAGGAGGTGACTTAGGCAGGAGCCAGTTACCCAGGCAGGTCATGTTCAGACAGCTGTATGCCTCTATCTCAGCAAGGTGGGGGGTGGCTCATGGTAGGATACCACACTCTGGAGGAGGGCACAGGGACACTTTCCAACTTGATGTAGGCGTTTCCACAGTGGTAGCTATTTGTGAAAGCCATTTTGTGTGCAAATAAAGAGAATGTAGAAAACACCAGTGAGTTAGGCATAGTGCTACACCACCTGTTATTCTAGAACTCTGGCTCATGAAGAGAGATGGCAAATTCAAGGCCATCGTGGACTACAACAACCCTTTTTCAAAAATTAAAAACTAATGAGCATACACACACAAAGGGAGGTAGTTTGGAGGCCACTGAACCTTCTGTCTTTGCCAATGTGTCAAGGAATCCAACATGCCTCCTAATCCCTAATCAGAAACAGAGGTTCCACAGGCAGCAAGTTCCTGCAGTCTTTCTGAAATGGGTTTATGCTGCCCTGTTAAACTCAATCACTTTCTGGAACCTGACTCACAGTGAAACAGAGTAAGACACATGATGTTCCTCTGCAGCTGTTATCTAGGTTCAAGGAAAGAAGGCTGAATCTGGATCAGTGCAGAGGAGGTATCAATGCAGGATGTGTGGGGTGCCCTGTGCTCAGACACCGGCACATAAAGCCCCTTTTTCAGACACCAGCTCATAGAACCATAACGTTTTTCACCCACCCAGGGCCCCATCTATGCTAACTGCTGACTGAGCAGTGACTGCCCACACTTGGCTAAGAACACAGCAAATGATCTGCCTTTTGGAGTATTTTCCAGGCTCCTGGAGGGGGGCGGGATTTTAACTCACTCTTGACAACTGCTCGGAATGTTTATTCTGCCTGGAGCAAGCACTCTGGTCAAGGAGGGAGGAGCTAACAATCCAGGTCTTGTCCTAACTCACCCTCTGTTAGTGGGAGAGGCAGGGAAATGGGGCATCTAGGTCTGGCTGAAGGTGGTAATTTCCAGTCTGCCTCTGTCCCAAAGGCCTCCCTGTTTTACTTTGAGTCAACTTCCCTGAAGACGGCTCTCCCTTTCCTTCATTGTTCTACAGTATGATTCCTTTGCATTTTGGAACTTTTTGTTAGAAGTACTCTAACTGTTTGAAACAGGAGTGTTTACACTACAACATTGCTTTATTTTTCAAGGACAACTCAAGCTATAGTAACACTCTGTATGTGTATGTGTGTTCTGGGGATTCAAACTTATGGCTTCAATGGTAGGCATGTGTCCTACTAGTAAGCCATTTTCCCAGCTCAATTTAACATAAACCTTGCATTCCCAACATAAAAACTAAGAAGAAGCCTGGGAGAGCAATTTAAAATGTTGCACATTCTCTACACCTCTAGGTAGTTTGTTACCAAAACACCCAAGAAGAATGAGAACTTAACCCTTTTAAACAACTTCTACTTAGAAGTCTAACCTACTCAAAATGAAGAAATTAAAAACACAAGCTAGGCTCCTGGGTAGGGTGCCAAATGTGTTCTCTATTTAGAAGATTACCAGTCAATTTCTTCAGGACAGAGAGACAAATAACTTCATGGAGTTCAAAATCAAGGCCAAGTTCTTGGTTGTTGGGGCAGGGGTTCCCCCCATCCAAGAAAAAGCAAGGACTAAAATTTGTATTACATTGTTAAATGAGTTGCATAGATACAATACCTTGAACAAGATTCGAAATGCATGTATAGATGTTCTAACAAAAATAATTTCAGCTTTATATCAATATATAAAAAATCCAAGCCAATGTAAAATATTTACAACTAATAGTTGCTTTTAGGTTTAAAAGTAGACTCAATAATCTACCCTTATATCCTATCATATCCATGTCTCCCTTTTTTCTTTTCAAAACAAGAACTCTAAAGCTAATCTTTTTTCCACAAAGATGACATTTTAATTCTTAACATCTATGCCCCAACACAAGGGCACCCACGTTTGTAAAAGAAACGATAATACAGCTTAAATCCCATATCGACCCTGACACACTGACAGTGGGAGACTTCAATACCACATTCTCACCAGTACACAGGTCATCCAGACAAAAACTAGACAGAGAAAAATACTGGAACTAACAGGCATTATAAACCCAAACAGACCTAACACATTTATAGGACATTTCACCCAAACACAAAAGAATATACCTTCTCTGCACCTCATGGAACTTTCTCCAAGACCGATCACATACTTGGACATGATGCAAGAAAATTGAAATAACTTCCTGCATGCTATCAGACCACCACAGATTAAGCGTAGATATGGACAACAACAAAAAGCTTACAAACTCATGGAAACTGCATAATCTCTACTCAATGAAAAATGAGTCAAGACAGAGATAAGAAAGAAATGAAAGACATTCTAGAATTCAATAAAAATGAACATACAACAAAGCCAAACTTAAGGGAAACAATGAAAGGTGCTCTAG